CTCTCTCTCTCTCTCTCTCTCCTCTCTCTCTCTCTCTCTCTCTCTCTCTCTCTCTCTCTCTCTCTCTCAAAGAAAATTAACGATGCGTTGCCTACGTTTATTATTTCCAGGAGGATCAGATATATCAGATTTAACAAGCATGGGCCCGGCGATAGACGGGTATATTGGAGGAATTGATCTACCGCTAACAGATCTTGACACCAACACTCCAGTCTACTACGTCACGGTTTTGGCAGAGAACGGGGCTGGCTTGCTGTCACAGAACCTGACATCACGGTACTGAATTCCAGAGACTTATTTGAGCTGTCAAATGATCGGGTTGCCGATACTAGTTTTGGGTTACGGTTACTAATAGTGAGTTGTACAGTTTTGAAACGTTTGTAAAACTTCGTGTTTTTCTATACCAGTCCTATTAAGGTTGTTCCCGGGGACAGACCAGGAGTGGTGTTTGACGGCCCTCTCACAGAGGCAAACGAGACACACACCAACCCTGTCGACGTCGACTTCCAGCTCGACCACACAGCCGTTGCGGTTCAGTTTGAAGGATTCCGGAGTGTCCTGAACGGACTGGCACACTTCGAGTGGGCTATCGGCACCTCTCCCCGACTGGACGACATCCAACCTTTTAGTGCTGCAGGCATCGTCTTAGCTCAAGATAGCCAGCATCCAGGATATGGTGCGTAAAGAATCCAGGGGAATCCGGAATCCTCCTAGGGGAGATTGGAATTACTATCTCCCCTAGGGGAGACTGGAATTCAAGTTTTTCTTCTACAAAACTGATATGAATATCTGAATTCCAATCTCTTCTAAGAGGATTCCAGATTCTTCTAGGGGAGATTGGAATTCAAATTTGTCCCAGGACAAGTGGGAATTCTTTTAGGACTATTTCCATTTCAAAAGGTGAAATTCTGATTACATCAAAATGTTTGGAAAATATAATATTTTACACCTAAATTTTCAATCAATTTCAGCATATGTAAGTGAATATGTAAATCAGACTCTGCATTAGGCCATTGTGAGATAGTTACTCAAAAAACATTTTTCTAGTTTGTTAGTGACTTGGTATATAAGGGATTGTTATCTGTGTATAGTATGGATATTGATACATGCTTTCCATCAAGCACAGTCACAGATCAATGATAAATCCTAATTTTTTTGTTCTTAAATGGACGTTGATCCTTCAGGCCTTCACGGAGCGGGACAAGCCCAGGCGCTGGTTCCCCTACAGGCGGGAACGACGTACTACGCCACCGTCCGCGGGGTAACAGGGAGTGGCGACGTGCTGGAAACATCCTCCGATGGGATCACCGTGGACAGGTCCCCACCTGTAACACAGATTGTAGACATCGGGTGTGACGTTTCGAATGGCAGTCTTGGAAGTGTTGAGAACTGTTACCAGACAAACAGTGATTACCTTGAAGGTGAATGGGAAACGGCAGATAAGGAGAGCGCTGCGGCGTATTCAGCTTTCTTCTTTGGTACTGTCCCTGGTCTGAGTGACGTCACACAGCTTACCCCAGGTACAGAGGAAAACAGCGTGCCGTCCACCCTCGTGGTTCCTGTATCTGATGGAAGACCTAACTTTCTCAATGTCCTGTCCACAAATGAGGTACGATTTCAACAAATTTGACAAACATGTGCTATATATTTCTACAGATCATCCCAGTGTTCAACAGTGTTGTTGATAACCCTAATACCGCTAACTAGATTACATTTTTGAACCATGGCAACGTATTTTCTTCTACG